CATCACATCATGGTCCTTTGTCACCGTGATAGAGCTGGACCCTCCTGCCACACCCGATGGTGCGTCCTGGACCACCGGGCTGTTCGCATCGTGGCTTCTGCACTTACAGCGAGATGGTCTTGGGCAAGTTACTCACCCTCCTCGGGTCTTAGTTTCTTTGTGAAATAGGAGGATCGCCTTCCCTGCCTCATCGAACAGATTCTATGAGACAACACAGAGCCCAGAGAGCGCTTCCCTGGCTGCCTCTCGCCCCGGCCCCGCAGCACGGGGCCCACGCGTCCCACGCATCCCCTTCCTCAGTCCCTCGCTCCTCCCAGCGCAGGTTGCCTTTGCGTGTCTCCTGAGTGGACGCCATTGTCTGGCTGCCGCAGGCCCTGGCCGGAACCCTACATTGAGTGCTGTGACTGGGTGTGCCTGGTTAACCTGGTGTTTGGCTACCAGAGCTGCTTCCGTCTAATCAGTCCTGGTTTTAATTTGGGGGTTTTAAAGGAGTTCTGTTATATTTATTTTGATGAGTTTAGTCTGACCTATCCTCCAATTATTACAGCGAAAAAAACGTTGCAAATATAAGTAGTTGAAGGCAACATCTGCCTCTTGTAAGCACCCCAAGAAATGGTGTTCCCCAAAGACACTGCCACTTTGGTGGTGTGGGTCCAGTGGTAACGGTGCTGCTGCTGTTTGGTTTAAGTCCCAGATTAGGAAACATTATTTTACTCCTTAATTTGCATAATCATTTTTCCTGTGTACTATTGAACTTGTACGAATTTCCCCTCTGGTCTGAGGGGGAGGCCTTTGGAAGCAGTCCCGGCACGCTCTGCTTCTTGGGGCATCACAGGTGGGTGTTGTACACACTGAGGCAGGACCCTCCATCGGCAAAGATTACCACCCGCTTCATCGCAGTGGCCGAGGGCTGAGCCCTAAACACCCCCAAGGTCTGGTCTGCCTGTGCTAAGACTCAGCGTCTGAAATTGATGCTCAGCCTTTGGCCTTTCCCAGGTGGGTCAGGGTGGGCCCGGGCAGCTGCAGTCCGTCCGGGTGGGCTGAGTCCCTGGAGGTGGGGGAGTTTCCGGTGGCTTTCTCCGTCCTCTGGCGAGCTGCTGAATCGGACGCCTTGTTTGCCATCAGAGTGTGAGTGTGTAGCGTTCTTTTTCTCCCGGAAAACAACACAGAACAAAGGCTCACTTTTAAAGATGCCGTGCTACTTTGCCACCTTCATGAGAATCTGTCATTGCCGTGTCTAATCTTGTGGTGCACAGAATATCAAAACAAGCAGGGAGGGACTGACTGCTCAGGCAGCATGGCGGCTCCGCTCGGAACCAGCTGCTCTCAGCCTCTGCAGCGGGAGCGGGCAATAACCACGCTTCTCTTCCCTCTGCTGTTACTGTTCTCCAGGCCTGACCTTCGCAGGAGGGCCCAGCAGCAGCACCTGGCTGAGGCCTTGCGCTCGGAATATGCAAGTGGGCTGGAGGCGGGCGGTGCCAAGGCCAGAAAGCAAAGCAGACAGGCCGAACCGGGCGACGAGCTGGGCGAGCCGAGCAGCGCCAGCAGCTCCAGCAGCTCCAGCGACGTCTGAGGCCCTTGCCCAGCCCGGGCCGTGGGAAAAAAGAAGTGCCCCCATGAAACAGAAAGAAGCCCAGAAAGGCTCACTGAGGGACAGGACTCCCAGAAAGTGTTTTCAAACTCTGCTGCCACGGCCCGGCCCACGTCCTGTCCTACCATCTCCCAGTGCGCCTTCCCGACAGCCCACAGCCCTCCCCGGGGTGTGGGGCCCAGGCGGCACCGTGTAGCTTAGCCAGTTAGCCTGTATCTATCCCTAGACCTGCTCTGCTTACCCTATCACTGCCCACGCATCCTCACGCAGAGCCAGTGGGCCCCCCCATTTGAGACCCGGTGCTGTGTCAGCCGGCAGGCTGTGACCTGCCTCCGAGCTGATCTGAAGAAGTCCACGTTTACCCCGTATTGCATGCATTTTGTAAAACGTTTTAAGATCTGGATTTAACTTTGTAAAAGAATAAAAAGTATTTATCCAACCACTTTGTCGATGTCCAAAGGCTTTGTGGGGACCAGAAGGGTTTTGGTGGGTCAGCAGGCTCCAGGCTCCTGTCCACAGACCGCCCGGCTCCGCGCCACGGTCACACGCAGTGCTCGCCCTTCACGTCCACGCAAGACTCTCGGGGTTGATTGGCCTTTGAAGTCAGAAGGCGCCGAGGTCCTGCGCTTTCCCCCTGTGAGTTCCATCTTGTCTGCAGAAGTCGGGGTCTCTGGTGGCCCAGCCTCAGCTGCCCCTCCCCCGTGTGTTTTCTGGGAGGTTTGAAAGAGGACCCCTCGGTGTATTGATTTCTCAATAAATGTAAGATTTGGACACGGGTGACTCCAGGGGGTCCGAGGAGGAGGAGGGGTAAAGCCAACCACCTCTGTCAGGCCTGCTGTCCGCTCTCCTTCCACTGTCCACCCCCCAGTTCCTGGGGTGCTGCGGGGGCCCCACTGCAGCAGGCCCTCCAGACCCACGTGACTGAATGACCAGGAGACTCCTGCGAGTTGCAAGGTGAGCACCACAGAGGGATGGTGGGCTCCTGCCCCTGTGCAGGCACCGGTTCCGCAGGGGGGAGAGCAGGGCCCCCCCGAGCTGCTGACCCCGTGGTAATCCTCAGGCCCACAGCACACGCCAGGACGGTGGGCAGAGCTGCCCTTTTATTCTGATGCGTGAAGGTTCACATGATTTGGATGAGAAAAGGAGGGATCAAACTATAGACAGAACCCAGCTGTGTGAGAAACAGGATTAGCGCCAGTGATGGGGACCATCAAAGAAACCTGACTCTCTTTTCCCACGAAAGGGGGGAAACAGAGAGCTCTGCACTCCTGGGGGAGGAAGTGCCAGAAATGTGCAAAGTGTGTAAGTGACTAAATTCCGAGATCAAAACTTACACTCAATTTGCTAACACTTAGGTGAGGGTTTCTTGTCAGAGTGAATCCGTCTGTTACCCCCAGTTAATAAAGAAACACGGATTGAGCAGATTGAGGCTTATTATTTCCTAAATGTAAGTAACCTTAAAAGAAATCTCTGTCTTATTACAGCTCCTGCCAGATTATACAGTTCAGGCATCAATTAGGCAAAGCTTTGGCCTAATTCCACTGCACATACTCATATGTTGTGAGCCTTCTCCATTGTACCTTTTCTTCCCTCTAATTTCCCAAACTTACCTGCTCCTCATATTTCAGGCCAGGGGGGATTTTAGTGTTTCCTGGTGTTGCAGCCTAAAGCCTTCCTCCCCCGTGGGCCCGTGGAGTGTGGTTTTAATGCCACCCTCAGGTCCTGGACCCTGCGGCCCTGCGAGGCCTCACACCAGAGGGGCCGATCTGGCACTGAAGGGCGAGAGCCCTGGCGAGAGGGCCGGAGTCCGGCTGACGCATTCGGAGCGGCATCTTCCACTTGGGGGCTTAGAGCCAAGCAAACCCTCGGAAGGTCGTTGGGAGATTCCTTTCTCCCCACAGTGAAGGGAGGCGAGATTGGGGAGAGGGGAGTACACGAGAACCCCTAAAGGCACGCATATTCCAAGCTGCTGGTGGCCTTGCTATTTAGCACTTCAGCCCCTCAAGGGAAAGCTGTGGGAGCCATGAAGTCCGCCTCCCTTCCCCGAGACAGAACGGAGGCTTTTCCACAGGAGAAGGCGCCCCGCGAGGAAGGGCGCGTCACTCATCTTGCCATGTCGTTGCATGGACATTACCTGTCACCTGTCCCACCGTAGGACACTCGGAGTGGGGGCCGCGGGGCGCCCTTCAGATCAGCTCCTCAGCTATTTCCCCGGAGCCGTGCACCAAAGCTCCGGGGAATCGCAGCTTTCCAACCCTGTTGCCCCTCCCGGTAGGCTTATGGGGGGGTTGGGGGGGGCAGGCAGGAGCCTGGGAGGAGGGCAGAGGGAAGGCTTCTGGGTGCTTCTCACTGTCCTGCCTGCTGGGAGGAGGTGGGGCGGTCACACTTTTTTATTTTAAATGCGGGTTTGCCCAGCCCCAGGGTTGGGAACAGAACCCAGTTCCACCTTGTACGGAGCCGGAGCCGGAGCAGAGCCCGCCTCGCCGCGAAGGCCGTGAAGTTATTACCGGTGGGAAGCACAGGACAATTTAAAACAGTGTAATTGGAAACTTGTCGGGAAGGCTTGTTCTTCATTAGTGTGAGGCGTGAGCCGCCTCCGAGGTACAAGGACAATTACATGGCGCGGCGGTGTCTGCGCGGCCGGCGGGAGTCTGAGGGCGCTGCCCCGGCCGCCGCCCCCACTTCCACAAAACGAGAAGCACACCAGTGCGCGCTGTCCTTTGATAGATTTTTAATATGATTTTAGAGAGTTTTGTTTGGTCTCATTCTTATTCAATGAGATTAATTTGAAGCACTTATCCCCTGGGTTTAAGTCCGTCCGCGCAGGGCTTCGGCGGGGTTTGTTGCGCGGGGGGGTTTTGTTTGCACGAGGCTCTGAGAGACTCCTTTCCCACTTCATTAACCCTGAGTCGGGCACAGTCCCCGCGCCCCCCGCAGCCGGGCTGGGGATTTACCACCCCCATTCACATGCAAAAGAACCCCAAAGCCAGGGCTCCTTGACTTAATTAGCTGCTGTGCATTTTGCAAAATTAGAATAATACCCTCACCGTCCCCCGAAAGGGAACGCGGGTGTGAGGGTGTGGGGGGGGGCGGGTAGGGAGTCAACACAGCAGGGCGGTGCGGGTGGAGGTTAAGCTGCCCCCAGCTCTCCACCACCAGGCGGTCCTCCGGGCGCGACCATGCCACCAAGTGAAGGGGCTCAGGTTGTTGAGCCCCCAAACCTCCCAGCCCTGGGCGTGTCTCCTGTCCTGGGCGCGTGAGCTGCAGGTGGTAGTGGGGCACCCCGGCCGCCTCCCCCCCTCCCTGGGGAGGGAAAGGCCCCAGGAGGTGGCCTCGGCCCTTTGACCCTGGACTGGAGGCCTGGAGTCTGGCTGAGATGGAAGCCCCTTCCCCCAGGTCCCCTCTGCGGCTCATCCCCCACTTACTAGGGTGGAGGGGGAGGGAGGAGAGGCAGAAGTGGGGTACCCGCTGGGGCGTCTGGTTCCCAGTGAAAGCTCCTGGGGTCCTACCCTCTCGGGACCGGAGCCACCTGGGCGCCCGGGAGCGGCCGGGGC